TGCGTGCACCACATACCATAGGTGTCACCCATCATACCAAACTCACACGTACACTAGACAATGTATGACAACAAACAACAGACTCTACAAGACACGAACCATGTATAATAAAACGTGACAGTAATAAGCGATCCTGACTTGTGTTACCGCTAAAAGTCGTATTAGAGGAGTAGACTGCAAAGCAACTTACTGATTGTGCTCCACCATGTTAATGAGAGTGTGCAAGTCACTTGCCAGCAATAATGATCTCCTACAGCTGTGAGCCCTTGGGCGCCATCGCACTCTGTGGAGAAGTCTATGGAAAAGCACAATGAATGTGTGCTGCCCAACTAGAGAATTGGCCAGACTTCAAGATGATACATGAATCTTTTCTGGGTCTTTTGTCCTCTCATATGCTTCAGAAATGATGTGTGGTTCTATTCACGTCCTATTACATGTTGACGGGAATTGGACATCTTCTTTAGTTTAATGTTTTCTTCTCTATGCGCTGCATGATCTGATTCAACTTGATGGTTTACTGTAAGAGTTGAAAGTGTGACGAGTCTAAAGTTTAGCAATTTGCAAAACATTCCCACTTAGCAGGCGCAAAGTTTAGCAATCCTGCCATCACACACCTGTCTTCTACATCTCTAGTACAGAGGAGAGAAGGAATAACATGCGTACTAGTATTGCGTTTATTGAGTTTAACGATGGATTCTTTCTCATGAAAACGCAAGACTTTGTGGCCCATTAGAAATTCAACTCTCACAGTATTAGAATTCTTTGGCAGTTCATCTTCATGAACACTGATGCTGCAGAGAAATTTCAAAAAATTAAGGGTGGTAGTTAAACTGTACATTCGCCGATCCACAGAATGACTATTCATACTCACGTATTGCTCACTGTCTCTAGTGTTATCACGATCATTACACACACAGTCCTGTTTGTCTGAGCCTTGATATTGATATACAGTCAGACCTCGCATAACCGCACACATCTGTTTTCCACAAAAAATATCCGGATAGGCGAGGGAACCGGATAATCGAACACGCATACTGTATGTATGCATGGCATGTGCTGTGAATCGGCAACCAACCATTTTTTTCCGGATGGCGAGGGATCCGGATACAAGAGTACCGCATAAGTGAGATCTGACTGTACCCAATTTATGCAATGAGATCTATGAATATGTGTCTGCATGGAGGAAGCAGACACACAAGGGCAGGCACACTCTATGCTCACAAGTGCTGCCATGCGTAGATCAGTCAGTATAATTGCCTGCAAGACCTCTGATCCTATGACATACAGACTTAACTCGAGATCCACTGCGCATAGTAACAACTTTTGGAAACGTTCCCTATTACATGAAGGGATCATGAAAAGCTGCTCATCCAAGTCTGTTATTCGTGACGTACAATTAATCATACATTAATGAACTGCTGTACTACAAGTGTCCACTGCTCATAGCAACACATGAAACAGCACTCCAACAATAAAACATTGCCTAGCAATCCAAAAATAGAGATGATGGGTTATCCTTGAGGCTAACAACAGTTAGTGATAAGAATGATGCACTGCTCTCTATCGCGCGCTTCAACTGAGTTTGCTTTACGTGTGCATTCAACGGCTGCGGATGTGCTCCCAAACCGCCTTAGTTACAGTAGACTCGTTCGCCCAAGAACGTCCAGGCTGGATATCTAAGAACGCCCCAGCCTGGATTTAAGAACGAACTCCAAGATTTTTAAGAACGCAACGTTTTTTGGTATTGCACGTTTTTGCAAGCGGATTGGACCTTCATGATCTTGTCCGAGTACGAAAAACAAGTCCGCAACCACAAACTCTTGTGGGGTCCTCGCGAAAACATCACCCAGTGCAGCGCTACATACTACACGTGCATGTAAAGTAAAAGTGTACAACCGGTACATGTAGTGCAAAGTGAATTGTACATGAGCGTCACGGGTCATGTTGGACGCGTAAGAACGCGAAATAAGAACGTAGCCTGGGGCGCTGAAAAATAAGAACTTTGCTAGGCTAGCCCTCTGAAACCGCGTTCTTGGGCGTACGAGTCTACTTTAGCTCTTGCTGCGTTGACTTTGGCTCACGCTTTCCTTTTTTGGTACCTAGTGCCACCACCCTCCCATTCACATTATACTTCAAGTGAGAAGAGCTTCCATTAACTGGTGCCTATGCTGCTACTATCTGTGCTTAAATCACACACTATTGGTCAGTTGTTTTGTGACGTAAATAGTATAGTCATTGCATCCGGTTGCAGGTTTCATTGCCGCACAAGCATGAGCGATTGATTTGGTTGTTTGCAATGCCAGTTGTTTCACCCTGGTTGGCTGTTCGCAACGTGGATCAGGAACCTTTTCACCTGGTCCAGGGCACTGTTGCGGCTCACTCATGAGCAATTGCCTATTTGCAATGCCAATTGCTGCACCAGTTAATCGAAACCAGCACACTGGTGTAGCCAGACTATGCTTAAGCCATGTTATGAGAATACACGGGTATGCAACAACTTCACTCTGTGGCTTTCCATTGCATGTAGTCCCTCGGCTATCTCTAATAAACCTTAGGACCTGATTTCAACTTTCATCAAAATGTGACGTTAAAGTTACTCAAAGAAAACGCGACCACGATCGTGAAGGCAATGAAGTCAAAGACGAAGTCGATCTTGAAATTTTTTTGCAGGTTTGATCGATCAATCGATCGATTGTAGGTAGTCAGAATGGCGAGTAACGATGTATGATTGAGTTTGTCGGTGTGCCGCATGAGGACGCGTCTCTCCTAGATGAGCACGACGAGATATTCTACTGCGATGTCTCCCCGGGTACGATGACAGTGAACGCGACGATTGCGATGACGGAGACAACAACCCGATCGCACCTGCGGCAGAAAAGTGCCAGCTCCGTCCGTCTGACAATGACGAAGATGAGAGTTACAATGACTTGGAGCAGGAAGGTCCGCGTGTCGAGGAAACCCTAATCACCGCAGAGATAGTGGACTGGATGTCAATCGGATGCAGCTGCCCTGGTGACAATCACTTTGCTGCACTTGACAAGGACCTCTTGAAAATATTGTCATGTCGCACCGCCAGCTAAAGCGCTGCTCTCGCCAAAGTCACGCCCACTCTTCAAAAAGTACGGACTGGATGAACTGGCTGCCTCAGTGACTGCGGGATTCGCAAACCCGGCAACAATTATGATACTGCATACATGTACATAGCCGAATTTGACAACTATAGTGCATTCTACAATATGGAGAATTCAAGGTACTTGCAAGGCTAATATTGATTTGAAAGTGTGTCACATGAAAGTCTACATACTAAAGACTTTAAGTACATTGTCCAAATAAAAAGGCAATTTCAAAAATTTCACCCCTAAGGTCCATTTACTGAGATCATGGCTCAATTGTTAATGGAGAGGTTTTGCATTCCGAATTTCGGAATTATTTTCGGAATTTGGCGGCAGGAGTCGAAAATGTAGTTGAACTTTCGGAAGTGTGGTGGCGAAAATGCATGGTTTTTCGAAAATGGATTTTCGGCTCTTTCCTGTTTGGGAGCGCATACACGTATTTGAATATTTTTATGTGTGTATTTTTGTTTTCTGCTGCTCTCGCTGATTATAATTATTTGAAAATTTTCCACATGTGTAGTTTTGGTTTTTGCTGCTCTCGCTGATCTCGCCATGTTGACTAGATCTTCTCACACTCCATCACACTCTATCTTCCTTTGCCATGGAGCCTACTGACAGTACAAGACAGTAGTTCGACAACCTCGTCCTCAGCCGTTGGATCACTCGGTCCACCATCAGTCCGTCCTCGTCTTCGAACCGCGCCCAGATTCAGTTTGACCTGCACATGGATTTGATCCTGCTCAGGCAACCCCTACATGTATTTTGTGCTCAACTCCTTTGTTCGCGGCTCTGTGGGATCCGAGGAGACTGCATAAGTTCTAGCCTTGTCTGACCCAAAATTTGCTGGTATCACCAGGAAGTCCGTCAGAGAACACCATGAACACACGCTGCTTCTGTTGGACCAGCACGCCTCAAAACCGAATATGCAACATTCGGTTGTAAAACGTTTTCGGTTTTGGCGCCTTCGACTCCCTGCATTTTGTTTTGCATGGCAACCCTTGGAAATCGAATCAGATTTTCGGAATGCAAAACACTGAAAATGCCGTTTTTCGGCACGCACTTTTTTTCGGAAAAACACAGTCGAAAAACATTCCGAAATTCGGTATGCAAAACCTCTAGTAGAACCACCATCATAATAAAAAGCCGAACTGCCAGGTATGAAAGCTTTGTTTTCTTGGAAGAACAAACAAATCATGAAAAATTTCACTAATTATGTGATGGACAAAGAAGAAAAGGGGATAATAGTATAGCAGTTGGTGAAGGACAAGGATGGAAATTCAAAAAACCTAGTTATTGTACAGCTCTCATCAGGAAGAAAACATTGTTCTAAATAACACAAATTAGGCCGGAGGACTAATATTTTGAATTTCTTAAGTGAGAAATAACGCCTGTATAAAGGCTATCATTCGCACCCTGACACTCTCCTATCTCAACTCACTGCCTGACACTCTCCTATCTCAACTCACTGCCTGACACTCTCCTATCTCAACTCACTGCCTGACACGCTCCTATCTCAACTCACTGCCTGACACTCTCCTATCTCAACTCACTGCCTGACACTCTCCTATCTCAACTCACTGCCTGACACTCTCCTATCTCAACTCACTGCCTGACACTCTCCTATCTCAACTCACTGCCTGACACTCTCCTATCTCAACTCACTGCCTGACACTCTCCTATCTCAACTCACTGCCTGACACTCTCCTATCTCAACTCACTGCCTGACACTCTCCTATCTCAATACACTGCCTGCATCTTCGCTTCCTGTGCTGTACCCCTCTGTACTCTCATCCTCCCTGTCCAATTGCCTATCAAGCCTGCTGAAACACTCTGTTCACCTCTGTGTTGACTGTATTCCTTGTTGTTGTTAATGTGTTTCTCTTCCAGGTCTTACATCAGGATGGGTCTTACGTGAAAACGATTGGTAACGGTACTATCGGTACCTCGTATGGTGTTGCAGCACTGTCTCTGCCCCAGCATGGTATTTGTTATGCTGTAACCGATCGCAATGACGGTTGTGTGAGAGTAAGTTAGTGCTTGTGTGGTGTTTATTGCTGAGATTTCTCAGAATTCTAATTTGATGGTTGCTATGATTAGCCCCAACATGGACTTTTTCTCTGTTCTCACAGCAGAGCAAGTAAATAGGTACAGCATTTGTTTCGTATCTGTACATGTGGTGCGAAAGGTGCCATAAATTTTCTAAAACTCCTCCTTTTCCCAACACAACACCAGCACAACACAAAAACCTCTAGGAGAAAAAATATGTAGTACAGATAATGCAAGTTAGCAGTGAAGAGAGAAAGAGAAGAACAAGAGGAAGAACAAAATCACCAGCACTTAGTCCAGGAAAAGACACGTGGAACAAGGCATACAAAAGGGAGGCAGAACAACCAGTAATATCTCGTCGTGGCTGAAGCAGCCAATGCAGCGACAGCCACCACGAAGTGCATGAAATAGATCTGAACATGAAGTGAAGAAAACAGCAACTCCGACAAAGAAACAAAACAAGATCAGCTACGTGACTAACCACAGCGTAAACAGCATTCGGCCTTTGAAAGTGTCTGCATTAATATTCACCATCATCATTGTGCTCTGTAGCCGATGACACACATCTAATCACTTGCCCAATACAGAGCACAAGAGGTTCCTTCGAGCATTGAAGTTTTATTCCTTGTGGCAGATGTTTTGGTCGCTAAGACTTCATCAGAGAAGGTTGAGTTGTTGAATGACTTGAAAAGAAACAATCACCTAGTTTATACTGACTCTTCCATGACTGTATGAACGTGAGCTAAATGAGACATGCGCTAGATGCCGAGAGCCGATGGTGCAGTGTAGATAGGGAGAGCATGGGGTTGATGCCAGGTGAACTACAAGTACTAGCATGACTGCTGTATCCGTGCTGTGTTGCAGTATAGGTGCTGTGTTGCAGTATCCGTGCTGTGTTGCTGTATCCGTGCTGTGTTGCAGTATCCGGCAGTAACTATCACCTCTTTGCAGAGTGTCCCATGATTTCAGAACCCGGTTAACATTTTAACACCTTGCATTCGCACTTCGAGTATCAAGTGCACGCTCATCAGCGCACTATCTCTCATTTCAAGTGCCAATATAACATATTTTAACGAGTGGACGGTTCGACGGACATCTCGTGCACTCTAGATGGGCAGTAGTGAGTTAGGCAATTGAGAATTCAAGTTGGCAGGGAAATTGCGAGCTCCCATGTAAGGAGCAACACACATTTACCCAAGTATCACTTAAGTCGCACCAACATCTTCTTCAAAGTATAAACTAGGCGACTATTTATTTTCCAGTCATTCAACAACTCAAATTTCTCTGACGAGGCCTTAATGATTGAAGCAATTGTCAGAAGGAGTAAAACTTCACTGCTGGAAGGAGTCTCTTGTTGCTGTTGTGTGCAAGCGAGTGCATGTATGTGGTCGTCCACAGAGTGTAATAATGGTGATAAAATATAAATGTCAACGCAGCTACCTGACTATCCACAACAAAGACATAAGCAATGACATCATCAGTCACGCTCGAATTCCGCATGCAGCCTTGCAGGCGCTGGTAAAATGGATAACACGGAAAGCACGAAAATTAATAACACAACAAGCGATCGTGGCAGGGAAACAAATAAAATTCAAATAAACTATTTCAAAGAATGATGGAAAGTGAAACGACTATAGTCTGTTTCAAAAAGATTTACAATCAGGTTTGGGTCTTAAAAAGTATGAAGATAAGGGAAATGTGGACAACAAAGTACATAGAATGGCTTGTTAGGACACGGCAAATTGTTCTGTGAAGGTTTCGGAACAATTGGACCAACCGTTAAGGAGTTAGAATTTCGGCCAGGTTTCCGGCCTTTTCCCATGGTTTACAATTTGCCCAGGAAGCCAGTATCGATTTTTTATCAAAACCCACGATTCATCCTTTCCTTTTTGGCCTTGTGGTTATGAATGCTGTCTGCTGACCATGAAGTTGTGAGTTCAAATCCCAACCGATCCTCAAATAAAACTTTTTTTTCATTGTTTTGGTGATCAAGCTGGCACAAGACAAAGAAGATGGCTGCACCAAACGACTTGTTGTTGGAGCTCGCGCTTCCTGCCGAACTGACTGACACTTGACTGGCTCACGCCATGTGAACACACCCACAACACTGCAATGGTGTGAGTGAATTATAATGGAAGTCATCGCGCTGTAGCTTTTTGAGATTTATTTTAGCATTTCAAGATCGCCAATTTATTTGAATTTAGCAGTCAACGCCGTCTTCTATCAGCATTCACAAGCGTCTGCTTTTCTCAAAATGTCGTCGAAGTCACACGGATAGCTTTGCCAAGTCATGGCCTTGGGAATGAGTCCGTGTCGATGTCGTTTTCGTCACACGGTGAGTAAATTGCATCGCAGCTCAAAGAAACTATTTTGGTCACAAAACGGACCCATGCAGCTCGTCAACATTTACAACACTTTCGTTTCGACATTATGTCCTCTCTGACACCATTATCGATACGAGGAAGAACTCGTTTGTTGTAAACCAGACGTACATGACTGTGTCAACGTGAGTGATTTGTCATTTTTCCTGCTTTCGCGCGGAATATTTCTTCGAGTTCACAGTGAGTTTTTCCACGCAGCGCTCGAGTGCTCATACGGTAAGCATGGTAAGACGCCAAACTCCGCGGACGATCGCCAGGATTGTAAATCTTTTTGAAACAGACTGTAGCACTAAAATGAGAACAGAACTCAGAACAAGAACAATGTAGGCCGAGTGGAAGCAGATAAGGATTGGTCTGGCCATGCCTAAAGTGATCATGGGTCATATAAAATCTTGTAGGACGCATCACGCAGCTTCATAAGACTAGTAATAAATTGGTTGTGAGCAACACTGGCTCACAACCAATCCTTTAGGGGTCATATAGTTAGTCAATCATACACCACTGGAACAACGGCCAAAACCTGGCACTTACTCGGTATGAGTTTGGCTGTGAGGTTGTAGCGAAACCACGGAGTAGAAAAACAACGGTTTTACAGTCGAAATGGTTCATTGACCCAGTTATTTAAATTCAATTGAAGCCTGGAGAAGTCACATCTTGAACAGTCAGACGAGCATGTATGCACGACTGTTCAAACGCCGAGTTTGGGTAGACAGCCACTGCTGGCAGGGACATTTTGGCAGAACAAGCAAAACCAGTAACTTCCCGGGTATGACAGGCTTTTCGAGTGCTCCAGACGCAGTCGTGAGTCGGTTAAGTGTCAGGCCAGTCGACAGGAAGCGCGAGCTCCGACATTGGGAGAATGCAGTTTCTTCACAAATGTACCGCTCACTCATTGTCGTAACATCTTAGCTCGACTTCCTACACACTCCTCAAAACATTTCCTACCACTCCTCAATGGCTCAAAGACTTCTTAACACTCTCTGACTAACGCTTTAGTGCTCGGGATCAGCTATCAGTTGATCGACTGTTTTTTTCCATTTTTGATGTGATGTTTCCAAGAAAAAATATCTGGGCCAAAAAGTTTGTCCGGCCATGGCTGGATCGTACAGATCAGTTCCGCCTGCCGTTAAATTGAAGCAGACTACGGAAGACGCTGCATTGAAGTAAGAGGCATGACACACTCATGATAAATGGCACCACAACAAATACTTCCTCCTTTAAGCAAAACTTCGTTGCGTTTTTACAGTTCAGTCCGAATCATTCTATGGCTATGAACACGCTTTGCAATGTGGAAAACAATTCAGCATATGAACGATATTTACTTGCAGATGTCACACCGCTCGTTTAAAAGCAGTGCAGTTTCACTCTTCGTCTCAATCTGATGACAACTCACTTCCTGATGACATTGAGTCTGCATCCTCTCTGACTTTCGAAGCCAGCGCTGCCATCTTTTGTTCCGCAGCCTTTACAAGTTTCCAAGACACGATTATTTTTATCGTGGAGATCGCCAAGCTCTTCGCTCGAAATGTGAGCTTGACGACCTCAACGGTGGCACTGGTAGTTGTGGCCACTCTCCGGAACGCCATGAAAGGAGCCATACAGACCCAAACAAACGCTCACCATCTTCGCAGCTGTGTAGCCGTGCCAGCACGTTTCCACACCCTGCAGAAGCTCCTTTCTGGTTTCTTTCGCCACGAGTGACACGTCTGTCTACAGGCTGTGGAAGAACGCCAAGCCGTAGGCGTTGAGATCAGGATTTTGCGTCGACTGAACAACAACCTGAATGTCGAATGCTTTTGATTTCCCCTGCGCTGCGAACACAAGTGCATTGATTTTGGCTGTGTGCGGATGCGCACCATCGACTCAGCCTGAGCGCTGGCCGGCTCCTGGACACTTCTTCGAGCCACGCGGTCTTTCAAACTGTTTCTCATTTTCGCACTTTGGTGTCATGCGCGCTTGCCTGGGGTTGTGTTCTGGTGACATCCTGTCGAGAAACGGTTCTGCTTCGCCGATTTTTTTCAAAGGACTCCACGCTTTTCGGAGGTTCAAAAGATTGTCAGAACAATGGACGACAACCGTCAGCTACCCTATGTAGGGGATAGATCACTGACATGTATGTCTAATGTCGACAGAAATTTCATTACAAGAACACTAAAAACCCAACGAAGTTTTGCTAAGCGGAGGAAGTTCATATCATAATATTAGTTTCTACACATATTGACATTGTATTGTCAGAAACAGTCAGAAGAATGCTGATAGCTCTAGTGACATCCAACATCCGGATATTTAGCTCATCATCACGTGTATGAGTGAATTTCTGTAATGACAAACTATCACCTGCCAAATTTCCAAATTCATTCAAGTTGGATCTCTTTTTCACTGGTTGGCCTACATGACCCTCTATGATATTTTCGCAGAGGGACCCTCCGTTCATTGAATATTGGACAAAGTCAAATATCTGCCTAAAGTATGCACTGAAACAAGGAACAAAAATTAATGACTTGCACAAAAATCTGAGCCGTGAGTGAGACAGAGCAACTCTCACCTAGCTTAGTGCACCCAGCATGCAGCAGTTATTGTGCCTGTTAACATCGATGG